TTTTCTCGGAACAATTTTCAAAAAAAATATCTTAGTCACCACAAAACGATTCGCCTTTCGGCGACAACCCATTCAGCCTCTACTAACGTGCAAAATCGTATAGCAGTATCATACAACAATATGATTTGCACGTTAAGAGATGCTGAATAGGTATTAACAGGTAGCAGATAGAGGATTTTTTGTTGCTGATAGGACTTCTGTTCTCGTGGTACTCGGTGAAGTGTTTCTCGGAAAGTTTCCGGAAGCATCGCTTTGAATTTTTATTATTTGAAATATTTACAATTGATGATTACCCAGACGGTTGAGGCAATTGTTACGGGAAGAACTTTTCTGGAAAAATTAGAAAAACAAGCAGCATAAACACTAGTAACCATCAGAGATGGGATTAGATGACCTGGGTTCTACCGAAGGAAATAACGAGTGGCTATGGCAGGTCTCTCGATTTTGTGCTGAATACCTCCAATCAGTACCCATATACGTGACCGGTCAGTGGTCGCCCGAGTGGTCGTTTACTTTCTCGCAGGTAGCACTCGCCGGTGCGCGCTTCTTGTTGCTTTTGCGCCGCCCACTGGCATCTATGCTGATGCTGCAACTCGGGTAAAAGGGAGTTCGGCCGGCGAGTGCACTGCTTTTTCGCGCCCTGCTCGCCAGTTTTGTCCTGGAATGGCGGTGGCTCGATCTACGGCGGTGTGGCGGGCTGGTGACGCGCGATCTGCTGCCGTTGCTCTTTCAGTTATTCATTCATCACAATTGAGGCTGCTTGTGTTGTAGAATTTGAAGAGTCCAGTGCGGCAAAGCCAGGCGGAGCAACGATATGTCCGACGCTCGTGTGAAGTTCGCCGTGCAGCAATACGACGGCAGCGGCATGGACGACGAGGAGGACGAGTGGTTCGTCCCTCCGGCACCTCTGCTCGCCGGTCTGTTGCATTTCATTTCAGTCTCACTCACTCACTCTCTCACTGCCATCCCTTTCTCCCATCCAACTGCCCGAGGACGTTGTCCGGCGAATAGCTTGGAGTGGTAAATTGCGGGAAGACTGTGTCCATAGCGATTTTCATTGAGAGCCTATTGCGGGTGGCGGGGTCGCGGGCTGTCCGGAAGGGGGTCAGTACGGGAAAAACGCGTGGAATAACTTGCAAATCGCCTTCTGAGAGAGGCAAATTTTAACCGCAAGAGCACATTTTTCACTCATGCAGGCAGCAGAACTGGTTTGACAGTCACAGATTGCGTAAAAAATCAAATAAGCATTTGGTTTAGCGGTAAAATTACTAAACTGCCATATATAAAGGTGACTGGGACGCTAAGAGGATGAGTGAAATTTTTTTTTGCTTGGGAAGAAAGGGGAGAGGAGCGGGAGGGGGGGGGGGGGGGGGGGGGGGGGGGGGGGGGGG